GTAAATTGAGTAAAATGTTGTTGCCAAAAAAAGTCTTGTAGTATGAACAAATAATTTCACTACACATTTTAAATGCATTTTTTTTACCAAACCTTGGATACAATTTCTGACATACAACAACCTTAGTAAAAAAGTAATAAATTTAAAATTCATTTTATTTCATACTAGTTCAAATCTATTAACATATTTACTGACATATCACTCAAGACTTACTGATATAAAAAAAAAACATTAACATAAAAAATTAAACATTATTTGGAGTACTTCTTGTGCACATTGCACATTTCTTAATATTAAGCCTAAGCCCTTTAATGTCACTATTGATGAGGATTGTGTGTAGTAGTAAATCTCCATCACTTGTTTTCAGATGGAGCGGCATTTAATACACAGAGCCGTAGTTCACTGACAAGCTACGCAATATTTACTACTAATTATTTAGATTTACTACTAATCACAGAACCGGCTTTACTGATGAGATGCGCATGATAATCGCATGCGATTTATCGTGCAGCTCTATTCCATCTTGAGAAAAAACGGCTGATTTTACATTAATTAATGTAGCTTCAACTTTCAAGTACAATAAGAAATTAAATTAGATAGTTAATTTAGATACAGTAAATGAAGAATGAAACCCCTGTGAATAAAAAAGTGCCTGTAAATGATATGGTTCTGCTTTATCACCTTAGTGTCCTTCAGTAAGATGTTTTAGAAATCATACATGTACATCTGTGCCAATTTATAAACTCTTTCTAAGTTTAGATTGTGTAATTGAGCTTCATTTGTTATTTTAATCTTGCATTACAGTGAATATGCCTTAATTAATTCCAAAATTACAAAAAGTATCAGTATAAGAATTAACAGATTTAACTCAGATTGTACTCGGAACAAAATTGTATCTTGCATATGAATTGCTTATGAAAACTGACAGTTAAATATAACAAGCACTGCAGAAACAAAACATAATGAACTTTAATATTATAAAATATAAGCAAAACTTTTTTTTAATATAAGGTGGTTCGTGGTATATTCTTGGTAATGGTACCTTACTGCACTGACTATTGATGTGGGATCCCAAGGCTCTTGACCAGCAACTCTGGAGAGCTTAAGAGCCGGTGAGCACCGGTGAGGCTTTAAATGCCTTTAATAAGACTGCTACAAAGGGGCCTTTCTTTAGCTCAACAGATTGGATTCCCACAGTCCAGCCCTCAGGGGCCTCTCTAAAGGGCAGTCTCATAGGCCAGGGCAGGTATCTTACACACAAAACATCTAGACTTCCACCCAGGGAAGTCTCTTTGAATCACTGACTAACTGATATCTCATTGTCTCCTGCTTTCATTCACTCTCAATTACAACCTTACAAGCAAAGTCATTTCTACAAGGTACTCGTATATTTCAATGAGCTTACATACTGTAAATTGAGTAAAATGTTGTTGCCAAAAAAAGTCTTGTAGTATGAACAAATAATTTCACTACACATTTTAAATGCATTTTTTTTACCAAACCTTGGATACAATTTCTGACATACAACAACCTTAGTAAAAAAGTAATAAATTTAAAATTCATTTTATTTCATACTAGTTCAAATCTATTAACATATTTACTGACATATCACTCAAGACTTACTGATATAAAAAAAAAACATTAACATAAAAAATTAAACATTATTTGGAGTACTTCTTGTGCACATTGCACATTTCTTAATATTAAGCCTAAGCCCTTTAATGTCACTATTGATGAGGATTGTGTGATCTTTGAATAATATCGGTCTTTAAATGCAAGATATTTAAAGTATCTAAAATATACTTGCAACAGTTCCACTTTAGCAAAATCAAATATACTTTCGTACAGTATATGTTTAGTTGGACTAAAAATTTTACTACTTCCGCAAAATTAAAGTGCATTAAGTACAAAATTAGTTGTTCCACTTTAGCAGACTTCAAGTATACCGGTTTAGTATCCCAAAAGTACAATTGCAGGGTATTTTTATTAAGTACATAAATATGTAAATGCATCTGTAGTATACTTAGCAATAAATTATATTTCAAACTATATATTGAAATTATATTTTAAATGCAGTTTAGTATATTTATTTCCCCTTCAGGAAATCGAGCTGCATCGAACGCTTTGGGAACGCCCCTGGCGAGACTACGTTCTGTGAAATCAGTTCAACAGAGAAGCGAGACGTTACGAGCGAGGTGACGTGAGCAACCAGGAAGCATAAAGGCGCATCCGGCAAGCGCACATGTTAGATTCTTGCTCTTCAGCGAGCGCGTCTGTGGTGTGTGTGTGTATGCAAAAGCACTCAGTCAGTCAGGAGAATCTTTGTATGGAAAGCAAGTAATATCATACCTAAGCGTAAATAAAAATCTGTGGTGAGCGGACGGCGTTTCAAGTCATGTCTTCCTCTCTGCCCACGCTATCTCTCGGGTGGGGATACACACGATTTGTGCAAGCTATCTCTCCCCGTCCTCAGCATCGTCCTTGAAGGCCTCGAAGCTTCCCACCAGGCCAGTAAAACTGACATCCAACCTGGTTGGGAAAGCTTATACGGCGGCAGGTCAAGCCAGTGCGTGTCTGCACACTATGGCGGTGTTGCAGGCGTACCAGGCCGACCTGCCAAAAGACCTGGATGATAGGGAGGAAGAGGAATCCAACGTAGTCACTGATCTGTGTCGGGCCACAGACCTGTCGCTTCGAGACACCAAGAAAACGGCCAGAGACATGGTGGTGGCTACGGAGCGACACCTGTGGTTGAATCTGTCCGAACTGCAAGACAAGGACAGATTCTTCTTCCTGGATGCCCCGCTATCACTTTCTGGCCTCTTCGACAGTGCAGTCGATATTGTCGCCGAGAGGTTTTAGGAGGTGAAGAAGCAAGCGGTGGCATTCCAGCTTTTCCTCCCTCGCCGCCCCCAGATCTTTGGGACTGCTGAGCGGGAGCAGCCATCTAGCTCCTCATACCGCCAGACCCAGAAGCAGAGTGTCGTGACCCGTACAACATCACCCCACCCCACCCAACACCCCCACCCCCCAGCAGAAAGATCAGGGGGCGGGGCGGGGCGACGCTCTCGGTCGGGGTACTCTAAACATAAAGCGGATCTGGGGACCGTTATTATGTCCAAGAGGACCTCGGCCAAGAAGGATGGGGGGTTGCGTCCGATCATAGATCTGCGTCTATTGATCTTTCACCCCTGCCCGGAGTTATGGAAGTTGTGGGCGTGGCCCCTGAGGGGGCACAGGTCATAGCACCCGGTCTCTCAACTGAGGTTGTTGAGACCATTCTCCAGTTCAGAGCTCCCGCCACGCCTTGAAGTGGAATCTTTTCACTTCTTGGTGCGGACAGTGACTGCAGAACCCAGTCAACTGCCCAGTTGGTTCAGTTCTGGAGTTTCTGCAGGAGCGATTCTCCGCAGGGTTATCTCCCTCCACTCTGAAGGTTTATGTGGCAGCCATAGCTGCTTACCATGCCCTTCAGGGTGGTCAGTCATTGGGTAAACACTCGTTAGTTACACGTTTCCTCCGTGGCACAGGGAGACTGAGGCTAGTACAGCGCAACCTGGGAATCCAGGTCATGGGACCTGGCAGTGGTTTTGGAGGCTCTGTGCTTTGGTCCACCTAAGAAAGGGGTTCCAGTGACCAAGCAAACGTCGGTGGGTGGTTGAGACCATCATACTGGTCTATGAGTCCTCTGGCCTCCAGTCAACCATAGGGGTCAGAGCGCACTCGACTAGGGGTATGGCGGCCTCCAAGGCCTTATCAGTGAGCATGGCCCTTCAAGATGTTTGTGCTGCGGCAGGCTGGTCCTCTCCGCACACATTCATCCATTTCTACAGCCTGGACCTGACATCTACCCCAGGGTACCAAGTTCTCTCGTCTTGATGTGCTCGCCAGATACACACCAGACAGGGACTTGCTCGTATGGTGCAGTGGGTAATCTCATCCCCAAAGCGTTCGACGCAGCTCGAGTTCCTGAAGGGGAACATCTCTAGGTTACATATGTAACCATGGTTCCCCAAAGGGAAGGAGATGCTGCGTCTCCCTGCCATACTCCCTGCATCCCTGCAGGCGCTCGCTTCCGCAGAAGCTAACATGTGCACTTGCTGGATGCGCCTTTATGCTTCCTGGTTGCTCACATCACCCCACTTGTGATGTCTTGCTTCTCTATTGGACTGATTTCACACACGCTTCAGAACGTGGTCTCGCCGGGGGCGTTCCCAAAGCGTTCGACGCAGTGTCTCGTTCCCTTTGGGGAACCATGGCTACATACGTAACCTAGAGATGTTTTCACTAGGTAAGCTAGATGGAAATAACCATATTTTAATTTAGTGTTTAAATTTTCAACATATCTGTGTTGGTGTTGGTCTGGATGCAGATTTGCCTATATCCAGTTATTGCCAATGAAAAGTATTCATAAAGTCCCAATGCAAATGGACTAAGCAAACATTAATTTTACAGTTGAATTGACTGCACAGAATCTAGAATCTACATGGAAGTCAAACAAGCAGTAAAAATTATTTTTTGAGTGCAGGCCATCTGAAATGCAAAGTTAAACTTGGTTTCAGACCCACATATGGCTAATTAGTGTTTAATAGGAACTAATCGTCCTTGACCATAAATAATAAAAAGCACCTCAGCCCAAAAATTAATGACATAGTTAGGCATAATCTGTTTGCAATATTTGCAACATATGGACTTCAGAACTGCTCATTTATTTTACAATGTAGTTACTCCATCTAAGACACCTGACAAACAGAACACATTATTCTGGTGTCCTAGATGGAGTAACAACTGGAGTGATATTGAAACTGGAACATGGTTGTCTGGTTTGTGCTACTATAAGTACAAATTCCAATTTCATCACCCTTTAATGCAGCTTTGGCAAACTAAAGTCCATTAAAGTAACATCCAGAGAAATATTACAGTGACTTGGATGAAGTAAAAACTGAGATCTCCTAAGCAACAGAGACATGAAAAACAAGTGAAAGATTTAACAAGCTTACCCTGGGCCCTCTCTTTCCTGGTAATCCTGGCTTGCCAGGAGGTCCTGGAGGTCCCTGAAAGACAAGAAGGGAGGGAAAATTGTGACAAAAGGGTCATTTAGTGGTAAATATCTACCTGCTGACATTGAATGAAATCCCAAACAGAGCAGTAATCCCACTATTGGATGGAGCTAATGAACCCTAGTCAATGTTATAGGATACTTTTTGACTTAAACCATTAAACATCCAAATACATAGTGTTTCAGTGGCTTGTCTAAAAAAATGAAGATTAAATTGAAAAGAAGAATAATTGCTGAAGTAGAGTATTTTAAAAATATAACAGGTTGAAAACTGGTTTAGAAAAGGCAGGATTTTTCTTTGAAAAATTATTTGGGAAAACTGAAGTTACATTTTAATCAAAACTGGACTGCCATTGTTTTCAATAAACTGTGTCCATACTGCTACACGTATTGGTTTGTTTTAATGGTGCTTTTGTTAATTTTGTACATCATCTAGCTTTGAATCAATTACAGACATGAATTAACTGAACTTGCATTTAACAAGAGGTCAGTGTTCATAGAATTGTGTTTTCCTTTCACTTGTTCAGAAGAGAAAAAGAACAAGAGCACAAGCAGGTCTGAAATATCATATCCAGCATTACTTGTACATCCGGCAAGAACGATCACAAATGTTTGCCAATGTTAGTGAAGGACTTTAATCCTTATTGTCCATTTTGATGTAATGTAGCAGCAAGTTTCTTCAGAATTTGCAAAACATGTGTCAGTACCCATCTACAGTAAGTGGCATACTGTACACTAGAGGTCTGCTACCCGACCCAAGCCCGACGGGTCCCGAAATACTTTCAGGTTTTGGGTCAGGTTCGGGTTAATGTTTAATGAATAGCTTTGGGTTGGGGTCGGGCTCGGGCTTATAGCTAAACTAAAACTATATGCAGTAGCCTAGGCTACGCTGCTTTCATAGACGCACGCACACACATTATAGCACACGACAACACAGCACGGAAACTTTTATTAGTAAAATAGCTTCGACAGGCTACTGACTCGCTGTTTTTGAAGTAACTAAGCCTCATTGCTTGTAGAGAGAGGCGCGCAGACGCAGGTTCACACACGCAACTTTCATCCCTCTCTCTCGCTAATTCAAATAAATTATATAATTAATTAATTCAAATAAATGCGATCTTACTGATCTTACTGCATCTCTGTGTCTGATTTAAAGCAGGCCGAATGCTACCGAGCCTTAACAGATGAAAATGACCATAATTTGCACGATGGAAGAATTATCGTCTACAACCATTCAAAAACTCGGCAGAATTTATGTGACCGAGGCACCTGATGTTCATAAACTTTCATAACTGGTAAGTGTTTTTTCTTTTGCCTTGTGAACTGGCCGAGCCTTAATGATTCTGTTTCTTTACATGTATTTGTTTACTGACCGTTGCATGCAATCGTGAAATACTTCGGGCTCTAAATTGAACTGTGCCGCTCGGGTCGGGTCGGGCTGGGTCAGACGATCTCGGGTACGGGTCGGGTTCGGGCTTCATTTTAAAGCCTGTGCAGACCTCTACTGTACACATCTGATGACAACATTGAGCAAATGGAAAATGTTGCTTTAAAAAGTGTTGCTTACAAATAAATTCTATGAGACAAACCCTGGCAATGTTTTGTAGAGCTGGCAATATCCCACATACTCATACTGAGAGTGCTGCTGCCAGGACTCCACAATGTTTTCGGGTTTCCACATGGCCACTAGCTAATAAAAGATCATTTAAAAGGTTTATGTTACTAATGTTTTCATAAAACTCTAAATAAATGTCATGAATATGTTGACTTTTTAGTTTTTTGTACAATAAACGTCGTTGTTCAAGTAAAGTGAGCTCTGCCTCACTCAACATTATAATAATCATTAGGACTCTATGGTGTAAGATCAACATAACATAACCAAAAGACATTGTGCACAGAGCTTGATATGAATGAAATTAATGTGGTAATTTTGAGCTCCAGAGAGAAAGAAAGACAGAAGATCCCCATTGAGCCCTCTACTCTTTCTCTTCCACGTGGCAAATTTCCTGAATGAAAGCAATCTATTTTTCTCTCTCTGCCTCCAGGAAAGAATGAAAAGATTAGAAAAGGAGGAAACAATGCCTTTTATAGTAGTTGCTTAAGGGGATCGCTCCTGAAAATGCACAGTGCTATCTGTGTGATAGCCATACTGAACGGCACATGTGGTTGTTGCTGGAAAATAGTTCAGGACTTTACTGTGACTGTATGTACAGTACCATAAACAACACACTGCATACTAGTGTTGGATGAAGTTGGCAGACTTTATAGCAAATATAAGCTCACTTTCAGTCGAGCACAATTCTGCTCCCATCAAAGCTTGTTTTAATTCCTGTCTTGGAAAAGGTGACACTTAAGCACAAGAAATGGAAACTAATCCAGGAAGACTTGTGGTAGTAATTAGCAAGTCTGTTACATGATTGATTGAATTAATTCTTATCCAATAACAATGCATCCTTTGTTTAAATGATTCACCATCCAATTGATATTAGTTGCTTTAGTGTACCAATGTTGGGTTGCAATGTTTGCAAGCATCTATAAACCCACCACCACCATTTTGGTCTCTCGTCCTGGTGACGGCTGTTAGGATCCTTTCCCTGCTGACTTCACACTATAGTCACACTATAGCCCTAAATAAGATACTAAATAACATACTTTTTAGTATACATCCTACCAGGTCATCTAAAATTAATTATAATGTTTTTAGGCTACTCTGCACTGCAAAAAACTTAAATAAATAAATTTAAAATTATAATAAATGTTTATGTACTTGACAAATAAAACTGCATAAGAAATGTAACACTTTTTCTTCTTTTAGAGGAATAAATCTAATCACATTTAGAAAGGTTTATGGCAATATAAGGTAAAGAACAATAAATAATTCAAGATACATATTCTCTGAAACAATTTTACTGCTCAAGTGAATTTATCTTGTTTCAAGGATGTTTACATATGTTCAGACAAACTGCTGATTAAGATTTTTTTTGCAGTGCGTCTCCAAGCCTCTGGCTTGTGACCTCATTATTTAACTACAAGGAAAAAGTGTGTGCATTACACAGACAAAAACCCAGCGGCCTGTAATACCCTTCCAAAGGATTTTATAAACTAGGCTTAAGACCAAGACCACCAAAAGCTCAAAGGCAACAATGATGACACCATTTTCCAGCCTTCAACCAACACTTTGCACCCAGACAAGGTTGTTTAACTAGTAAAAGACGTGGTTGTGTAGTGTGTGTTGTATTATGTATTGAACTCCCTAAGAGGTAATGCAAACCAAACGACAAAGAATTCATATTAATGCATTGCAACAGTCAGCACTTAAATATAACATATGAAGGCAGATGACAAGGCAAAGGCGCACATAACACATGGCCACAGCCAATAATTCACATTTCACCATTCTTCAAAATAAGCAAAGCAGCACACTTGCCATCTGGCCACCATAAGACACTGTTTAAAAAGAAAGAAAATGGTCTTTATACCATGAAGTGTAAGTGGTCTATTGCAAGCTGAATGTCTTGTTGTTACAGTTTTGTAACCTGACTTAGCTTTGAGTATTTTAAAAAGTACATTTTAAAGTCTTAAAGTAAAGTCCTTAGAGTAATCAGGAAAAAATCCTGCTAGAATAACATTTTACTGTAAAATAAATGGATCATTTTACTGATTTTACATTTTACAGACAAATTACATTTTACAGACAAATTACTTGGCTTTTTTGGGGGAGCTGCACCACTTGGAAATTTACAGCTTGGACTAACTGCCTTGTCATAAAAAGGTCAAATTATCAGATATTTTAAGAGACTTACTGATTTCCCTGTTGAAAAAAAAACAGCATATGCTGGTTAGGTATGTTTTGAAGCATGGCAGCTGGTTTGAGCTGGTCCTTACTTGGTCATGAGCTGGTTTAAGCTGGTTTAAGTTGGTCATGTGCTGGTCCTAAACTGGTCTTAAGCAACTAGCTCCTGCTCAGGACCAGCTCATAACCAGTTTATAACCAGCTCATGACCAACTAAGGACCAGCTCAAACCAGCTGCCATGCTTCAAAACATGCCTAACCAGCATATGGTGTTTTTTCAACAGGTTTGACTCACAGTCATGGGGTCCTCTCAACGATAACATTCGTGTTTCATGTTTTTTGCATATTTCTCCATGTTGCTTGGACTACATGACTTTGTTGTTTGACTACATGTCTTAAAAAAAAGAAAGAACATCCTACCAGTGGTCCTGGTTCTCCTTTCTGTCCTGGTGGCCCAGCCAAGAGGGAGTATTGGGTTGGTTCAAGGTCAAAGGTTTGGAAACCATCCGTTGCTGCAGGGGTGACAGGCTCAAAAGAGCTGGGGTTGGAGGTCTCCTTTGGTAATGGTCTCTGTGATGCTCTGGATGTGCTAGAAGGTTTAGGTTTTGTTGTGGTAGGGGTCTGGATATCCAGTTTGTTCTTCTGTTGGCCTGCTGGTGTGGAGGTGACAGCCATCGCGTTCTCTTTTAGTATCTGGGGCTTTACAGTTGCCTTCATGAGGTTCTTCCTGGGACTGCTTTGTTGAGTTGGCTTTGAAGATATTTGTGATGTCCTACTCCCAAAGGAGGCCATGGCAGTTTGTGATGTGGCCTGCAGGGGGAGCTGTAGTGTGGGCTGGGCTATCGTCGGTGGCACCGTGCTTTGTATAGACTGAGATGTAATTAGAACGGAGGTGTTTAGGACTTGTGAGGTTTCATGATTAATGTGTACTTTGCCTTGTGTTGATGAAAGATGTCTGTCGTTTACCTCTGTTACAACATTTGGGGTCTGAACGGTAACAGATATATTGAGATCCAGGGATAATAGCGGTAAAAGAGGAGGGAGGTTTGGCCGATAAGTGTCAGCTTCCCTGCACTGTTTTTTAATGTACTTACAATAATTGTGAGCTGCCTTAGCAGAGGGATGAATATCAAACTGACAGATGGCTCCTTCAAACTGCACTGAGTTCTGGCTCGTTTTTCCCAATTGAAAGGAGCCCTCTGGATCCAGCGTTTCCTCATTTTTAAAATGCAAATGTGCATGTACACTTGTCTTCCCACAAGAAGTATATAACGTAACCCTTTGGGCCTGGATTTCCAAAGCCAGGTTGTGCCACTGACCATTGTAAACATCATAATCGAACTTTACAGTGTTCTTTTGGCCCAAGTAAACTAAGATTTGGTCAGGGATGAACTGCACCCCTAGCTGCAGTCTTTTCCTCTTTGTCACAATGGTGAAGAGGAAAGCATTGTTTATGCGATGCAAACATACGCTGAGGATGAGAGAGAATGCCGAGCCCAGTGATGCTGGGACAACGGAGCTCACTGGGACGTCAATTCGCACCCTCTGGGTTAGGATGACTCCTGATTTGAAGGGGATGACACCTTGAGGTGTGGAGCGTGTCCCAGATGGTCGTTTCCCAACCAATCCCAGTCTTTGCAGCACGTCCACATCTACAAAAAGGAAAACCACAAATAATTACCACAGTAATCACTACATGTAGATGGATTTAGGATTTAGGAGCAAAATGGATTTCATCGCAGCCGACTGAAGGCTTGCAGCTGCTGCTCACACACTGAGACACTGAGCTCATTACAGATCAAACAGATCATTAACAAAAGCATATGTAGAACATATGCGGCAAAGTTAATGTTTCATCTTGGGTAATGCTTCAGTTTTCCATTAAATATTCTGCTGATACTGTTACACTTAGAAAAATAACACTGTGTGGGCTTATGTGAGTTTTATAGATTGATCACCTCTACTACAAATTAATTAGATTGTTAGATATCTGCAATAAATCAGGTCAAGTGAAGTGAGTGGGAGTATGCATCTCAAACATCCCTGTAAGATTTACAAAACCACAAGCATGTTAGTCTGTATTGATTGAAGTGTTCCAGTTTATTATGTGGATTTGGGTATAAACCTGTAAAAATATATATTCTTCTTAATCTGCATTTTTATATTGTTTCCCAGTAAAAATATCTAAACATTCTTAAAACAAGATAAACTTACTTTCTAAGCAAAGCTGTGTACGACAATAAGCCCCTTTTCTTGTAATAGTTATTTTTACTGGCAATATTTTAAGCATACCTCTAACTATTTTTGTATTTTTAAAGTAAAACATTGGGGTTAAGAAAAATTTACTTCTCTGAAGTCAGTTTTGCTAACTGATATTTTCAATGGAAATCAAGGCAATAACACTGATTATGAAAAATATTTTTTGTTTTAATTCCTATGGTATGACCAATATCAATAGCACCCAAATTGATTCCTTTTATGACAAGTAAATGTAACAAAATACAATGCGTAAGAAGAAACAGTCAATGCCTGTCTTCGGACTGCCACTTCTAAACAATCAGTAATGAGTTTAGAATAAAAACAAATGAGAGTATGCATCACAAAACCAAATCTAACCCAAACACATATCAACTAAACAAAATCCAGCTTAACATTTGCAGTTATAAAATATACCCAATGAGTACTAAATGAAAAGCACATGTAAATGGAATAATGTGCACAGACTTTCTTCTCTGTAAGCCCTGTATCATTTAACAAATGATGATCAGCAGATTGGACGGGATTGTTGAAAGAAAGAACTATGTCTGCAGTAGTATTGTAAGCAAATCTAAACAGAGTTACTAACATATTGGCCACTTCATTACTGAGCATGTCTGAAAGATGTGACAGATCATCTCCTGACAAACAGCAGGAAAACAACTGCTCTGAATTTAGAAAATTAATGATCTGAATAATTTCACATAAATCACATGAGATCCTGACACAAAACTCTAACAATAGCACAACTCCAACGATGCACCTCAACAGAACACATGATGAACATCCATTGGTTCTACTCACAAATCACAGTAAGGGGTGCTGTCTGAAAGAGTCATAAACAACATGAAATAAACTTCTTTAAAGCAGGGTTCAACGATAAGTATGACCTGCTGACCCTGGCCAGTGTGAACGAGTTTAGGACCACTTGACGCAATTGATACTTGCCCTATCAGGTCACAGCTGCATTGCCATTACATCTTACATTTGTTTTTATGCTTTGAAGACTTGTTTTGACCATTTCTATTGCAAATTCTGATCATTTACAGTTGTTTTTTGTCACCAGGGTAAAATGTTTTCTAGCTGGCTAAAATAGATTGTAAGCAATTTCTCTGAAATTGCCAGAATCAGGAAACATCATTCAGAAGAAACAACCTGGTCTCATAAGAAGACATAATATTTGCACAAGACATTGTACATTTGCATAAGAAATTGTAGTTGGTTTGTACAAAAACATAAGACCCAAACCTAACCCTAGCCATAAAGTCCAACCCTTTACCAAAACTCTAGTCTTGCATAGACTGACGGCTGAAGGTCTGGGAACCTTGGCCGCTTTGAATGGCCAATGATCGCCCAAGAGGCCATATGACTGACAGGCATCTTTGTTTTCAGGCAGAACTTTAAAGAACGTGACACACACATCTCTCGGAAATACCGTAGAATTTAACCGATCAGATGACGACGAGAGGAAAAAACTATCTGTACCAGCAGGTGGCAGTAGTCTATATTCATCTGCTGTGCCATCACAATTTTGTTGCATTGTGTATAGCTGCCTGAAGTGTACACATGAGTAGACCAGCTCCCTCAGTCCAAATCAAGGGGTCAAGGATCTGCACTTCCAAATTGCGGCTGAGGGTAAGCGATTAAGAAATTTTGCAAGGGTGTGTCTAAGAGTGAAGTGGAACACACACTCTGCGGATATAGAATCTGTAAGCAATGAAGGAATTGCTTATCATTTTGAATATGAATTATGCTGATCAGTTGCGCTTTACTTTCTTCATTCTAGTCGGACTTAGCGTGTCATGGCCTTTGCATTGCATTTACGGCTCATATGAGTGGCTTTAAAAAGTGGGCTTCAGAACTGGACGCCCATGAGCAAAGGTGGCAGATTTCACAGTTGAGTAATTTTGGAGGGTTCTGAACCACCGCAATGAATGGGAATGCTAACACCTAGCTTTCTCCATGTATATTAATCCTCTTTGGTCAAGACATACTGAAAAAGTCAAAGGAAAGGCCCTGTTACAGGCCTTAAAGGGATATTTTGTGCTAAAACTACATCATCCGCTGGGACGTCACTCTCTCATGTACACGCATACGACAGTTAGCGGAAGCTAGAGTATACGGTACGTAAAGTTTTAAATATGGATATTTTTCTTTAAAAACCCCTCAATTTGCTTCAGGGGGTTTTATATTAACCCCTGAAGCCACGTGAAGCACATTTTTTATGAAGGATAGATGCACTTTATTGGACTTCTATTGGACTATTGAATACCAACAGCCATTCACTGCCATTATAAAGCTTGGAAAAACCAGGAAATTTTTTAATATAACTCTGATTGTGTTCGTCTGAAAGAAGAAAGTCATATACACCTAGGATGGCTTGAGGGTGAGAAAATCATGGGGTAATTTTCATTTTTGGGTGAACTATCCCTTTAATGCTCTGTAGAGTTAAAACAGTGATGCATTAGAAATGGAGCTGTAAATGGAGCACAATGAATCAGCATCAGTTCCAAGAACCAGGCTAAAATCTACCAAAACTTCCTGTTGCCCATGAAATTGATGTCAGAATGAAATGTCAGTGGAAAGTAGAACGTCATATACTGGAAATCATATTTTACACTAAAGATAAGAGCAACGGCTAGAGAAGAATTCCAGAAACTCTCCAGCTAAGATGACTTGATCATAAGTCATGCAGCGGATACCCAGAGAAATCTGACAGAAGAGGGAGAATGTGCTATATGGACTGCCTCACATATGGTAAAAACATCAAACATACACTCAAGAACAAAGGCATTTTTCATGACTTGTTTAAAACATGATGGCTGTTGCATTTCATTAATGTCTGACACAGAAGCACCATATGTTACATGTACATGAATGAGTTAGACTGAATGTGACAGATAATATGAAACTCCCACCACATAAATTCTTTACAGAGCAGATGTGGAAATTCTAGACACACCTTGAATGAGAACCAATACGTTTAGACTACTTGATTGAAACAAAAAGCCAAAAAAGTGCACATGCTGGTCCTTCATGTCATGCATACTCAATGCCTCAAAACCTCAATTTAAGTGACGATTTTACATTGCAGGAGCAAGACCACCAACATTATGTATGTTAGAAATAAACACAGGAACTATTCAATATTAAAAACTCTAAACATCTACAGTCAGTAAACTCAGTGACATCCAATCAGGCACAATGCCATTCAACTGAGGTTGGAATCAAATACAAAACATATAGAATTGTGCAAACAATGGCTTCTGATTTACTACAGTAAAATAAACTGACTCAGACCAGTTATATGTTGTTGATCAAAGGCTCCTCCATATGTCATGCGAATATTGTTAACTCTGGCAAATAAGGACCACACTAATCCTAAAAATATAGTACCTGTAGTCTCTTTCACCTCTGACTCATGGAAAACTCCAATGGGTTGTAACATTAGAGTTCTATTTATCCAAGTCCTGTCAAGTATCCTCAAATTTTATTGCAAGGCAGTGTGAGGTCTTTGGACTTCAGTAAACCCATGTGCTCATGTAACGTACATGGTTATGACACAGATGTCAAGACCAAGGTAAAACTGAACAGACATTTTGCAGATGCACATTTCACATGCTGATCAGGCACTAAAATTCATGAATGAAAAATCTGACTTACCTGCAGACTGTGCTTGTGCAAACCTCAGACAGCACGTACAGTAAAGAACCATGCAGAGAAAGACAGCTCTCCTGTAAAAAAAGAGAAAAGAATTACATATACAAACTGAAGATCAAACATTTAGCTGACATTGAAATGTGATTTTACAATGACTCTTGGCAACTTCACGACTCAAGCAATAATATAAACAGTAGAGACAACTTAGTAGCATGAATTTGACACATGTAAAATAGGACTGGAACTAAAGTGATTTATTTCCAGTCATTTTGATTAAACTTTTTCTAAAGTTAATTTTCAGCCATTACCCACAGTTTTAAACCACTGAAGAATTACCCAGACAATGCATTTGAAATAAAAACAGTTTTACACAATACCATTCAAATGTTTGGGGTCAGTACATTTATGCTTTTGAAAGAAATTACTTATGCATACCAAGCCTGCATTTATTTGATCAAAAATTACAGTAAAAACAGTAATATTGTGAAATATTATTACAACTTAGACTAACTGTTTTCTGTTTTAATACATTTTAAATGGGTCATATGATGCGATTTAAAAATGTCCTTTCTCTTTGGAGTGTTACAAGCTCTTGGTGGAAGATCTGTAAAGTTGCAAAGACTAAAGTCTCAAATCCAAAGAGTGACATGTCTACGTCACTATGTGGGAAGATTTGCATAACGCCACCCAAATGTATTCCAACGCCGCCGCATAACTTTTATTCTCGCTGTAGTATTGTTGTTGCCGCCGCCGCCATGTCGTGAAGGCACTGTGTGTTTCATTGTGAAAGCGAAACTACTTTGTTTGGTCTTCCAAAAGAGGACGATATCCACTTCGTCATGCCTAGAGCTGATCCATGCTGGTCGCTGAAGAAATACATCAACTTCGCACTATGGATCGCCGAATCGGCTTTCACCGTGGACGAAGCGGAGTCCAGCCCGGGGTCGTCACATGTGGTTGCCACAAGCCCGCCGGACGCTCCTTCGTCGAATCCTCCGGCCATGCCGTTCTCAAGCCCGCCTGCCTCTGCTTACTCAAGCCGGCCTCCGCTCACTCAAGGCCGCGGTGTGTGAAGCTGCGTGTTTCGTTGTGAAAGCGAAACTACTTTGTTTGGCCTTCCAAAAGAGGACACGACTAGAAATCAGTGGTTAAGTTGTATTTACAACACTGTTCCAGAACAGTTTAACCCAAATATTCAGATGTGTCCAGCGCATTTTATGGAGGACTGTTTCCTGATCCTGGTAGAGTAGACTACAATGCCGGCTGTTCTGACTCACAGACTGTAAGTACATTTTTTATATTTAAAGAATTTGCCACTGACGATTCAAACATGAGTTCTGAGCAGTGTAGAGTAGTGCTTGTTGTTTGTCATTTCTCCGATCACAAATGCAGACATGGTTTTATGTTTACGCGGCACGATGCAACACTACGCGTAAAAAGACAGTATAAGTCATTATAATC